TTAGGCTTAGGAAGGTTCTGGACTCTTTGTCAAATGCTAATTTGTCTGGAAATTTTAAATCAGCTCACCTCCAATGCCCAGTAGTTGCTGGTCCGTGCTGGAAGTCTTTACCCTAGGGATCTCCCCTGGGTTCCATTCATGTATTGGACTAACCAATTCTTAGTTGCTTACATCACCTGCAGACTCCATGTTTCCTGGTCCCAGGTTTAGTCTCCAAACAATTTCTTCAGCCCCTGCCCTTCTGAGTTCCCAGCCAGATGCATCTCTCCCAGCTGGTCCTGCAAATAATCAGATTTGAGAGAGAGGAATAGAGCTAGGTGAGTTTCTGCAACATATTTGAAGATGGAACAAGGCATGAAATAGCAAAAAATAAAGAATGAGAGAGAGAGATCCAAGATAGCAGGACAGAGGTCATGTTGTCTCGTATGTAAAACTCTCTCCATGTTTGATTTCTTCTGGTCACTTAAGCACACCCTATAATGTGCAGTGTATATTTACTGGGCCTGCATTTCTGGTCAAATTTGGGTTTGCCAAGAATAAGCTTGCTTAGTCACCAACCCCTGCACTGCAGCTGCAAAATGGTTCCTTCCTTTGTCCTCTGCTCTTAGAGAGATGGATGCTTCTTTCCCTAGGTGTGGATTTTGCACAGTGCATCTTTTGAGTTTGCTTGACAATGTCCTTGGCCTCTAAATGCTCCATACCCAGACATAACTTGGGCCTCCCCAAAATGCAGGTTCTTTAAATTCCCTTATCCCTCTGCTATGCTTATGGAGGGACAACTCTGGCTGGAGCTTCTGGACTGGCTGTGACAGCTGTGCCTCTGGGGATTTTTTCTCATTTTATTATGTCCAATGTCCTGTGTCCCCGTTCTGCTTTGGATGTCCAGTAATGTGTTCCTGGACCCATTACATCCAGTAATGGATGTTCCAGTAATGTGTACCTCCCCACTTTTATTTGTTCACCCACATTGCAGAAGAGCTGCCTATCTGATTTCTTGTTTTTTTCTGCCATCTTGGATCTCTCTCTCTCTCATTCTTTATTTTTTACTATTTCATGCCTTCTTCCATCTTCAAATGTGATAGTTGACAATTTATCCCTCCAATTTTAGTCATTAGCAGGATGAGAATTTGCAGAAGAAATGTAAGGTAACTCTAGAAATCCCCTTTTATTCTTAGAAGACACTGCTCAGCATTTTTCTCAGTGAAGGTCAGACTACGAATTCATTGTAATTTTCCTACAATGATGTGGTATCATGGTAGTCAAATTCCTGTGAAAGACAAGTCTCAAAAAGCATTAATTGACACTTGTGATTTGCCATCCCTATGGCCCAGTCAAGGAAATTAAGTCACATTCTTCTCTTTCCACAAAGGCCCAAAGGTTCTAAGAATCAATCCCCTATACACTGATGGCTCTGAGTTTTTCCTTCTGGCTTCAAATACTTTGAGTAAACACAGGATTTTCTCTTCTGTAGCAATGATAATCACAGTTAGTAACGTGGAGTAACTTTAAGACTTTGCTTTACTGACTTGATTTTGTAGATTATAATCCATGGTGTAGGAAACAATTTATGTTGGGGATTTCAAGAAAATCAACAAACTCAAGTCTTCTAGACATGAAGTATACATAAGGAAGATGACATACAGGGAACGTGGACAGAAATGGGATGATAGAATTGAAAGAAGCTGTTTCAGTACCATTTGAGTACTAGGTAAGAATATGAAAGAAGTAATATAATCAAGATCTAAAGGTTTTGTCTGTAAAAAAAAGAGATAGGAAAAGCAACCCTTTTCCCTCCACATTGCTAACTTTTAAACCTATAGTGGAGAAGTCATCCACAGCCAATAAGAACAACATTGGAGCAGGTCTTTATTTCTCTCCCTTCCACTAATAAGAAAGTTAAAACATAAGATTCTACTTTCAAGTTTTTGCATCTGAAAAAATTAAATTTTCCCCATCTCAAGTTTCACATCTTTATGTTCTTGTGTACAAATAGTCAAGAAAGTTCATGCACTGTATAAAGTTATTTCACAACTGCCACTTTGTTTTAGTTAATGAACTAAGTCATGGAAGCCCTGTAAAAGACAAAGAAAATTACCTCTCTATGAGAAAATAACTACAACATTTATGCCCAAACTTTTTATATGTATTATTTCCCATTCTAAAGAAATTTTAACACTCTTTTAGAAAATTACCATTACCCTCAAATGGCAGTGGTCTATGGTGAAGAAATACTTGTGATTTACTCTTTGATTATTGCTATTTTTGAATTATGTTGTAACTTTTAAGAAAGTTTTTTTTAAGTGTAGTCACTGATTAAACTGGACAGTTTCTGAGTTGAAGCTATTATTCTAGGCTAGTGTAACAACCGGTGAATTATTCTGTTCATGACCAATATCATTAGGAATTACTAAATCTGAGCAGTGTTAAAGACTGGAGCCAAATTGAATGCTTCACATTTTCCTGCTGAAACCCACTTATTTAGCTACTCCCAACATTTTCTTTTTAGTATTAGAGGTGCATTTATAGGACATAAACAACTAAGAAACAACAAAAAGAGGAAACCACAGGTGGCTCTGAGGTAACCTTTTTCTTTTTCTGTCATGGCTTATGAGGAATCATGAAAGAATGCATTGGCCAAGAAAGGAAAGGAGAAAAGGATATGACAAATTGGGAGGAGACCATGTATTCAGAGGAAAATAGGAAACTCAAATGGTGGGGTATACGTTGCTAAAATAACTATATAACAAAAGGGAATATTAATATTTAAGATGCAGATTGAAAAATTGCTGGAGAAAAGATGTTACTTAAGACTCACAAATATATGTGTTATTTTTTTAAAACCAAAAGTAAGTTTCATTACCTACAATATATTAAATAACCTAATCTGTTTTATGTTTTCATTAGATATTCACAGTTCTGCTCTAAACTGAAAATTTCTAAATATGTAGTAATTAGAACTTGTGCTTAGAATTTAAATACCATAACATTTAATATCCTAGAGAAAAAGATATCATGTAATGACCTCAGGACCAGGGGTTTCAATTTCTCATCCCCGTGATGCCCTCTTCCAAATCTAAGTATTATCACCAGGTTCCTCTCCATACCTTTTCTTTGTCTGTGCTGTCAGTGAATTTTGTTCTTTTCCCTACAAATTTTTCTTTCCAAATTTAGACACATACAATCTTTACAGATCACTTGAATATTCATTTATCAATATTTCTATCTTGTTCATATATTAATACTCTTAAATTATTGTAAGATGTGTCTCTTTTTGTTATCTCTATTTGTGTTTTATTTTACAGTTAGAAAGTAGCTTTGAGTCTAAATGCACAAATAAGATGATAAAGTTCTTTCTATAAGCACATCTAATTGAATCTAAATATCTTGTATCCTATATAAATAATTTGATAGCATTACAAAATTAAGAATTTTTCCTCCTGTACTTTCAGCCATATGTATGATTGACAGGATTGTAATTATTATGGTTTTTATTGTCACGTAAATGATATTAACCTAAAAATGCCAAAAAGAAAACTGAAGTCACTCATTTAGTAACAAAAATTCTGTTTGGTAACAAATATTGCTTCATTGAAGTTATCTTTCTCAGCTAAATTAGGTATTTCTTCAATTACTATTTACATACCAATTAAAATTCACCTAAGAATGAATTTTAACTTAAATTGTTGGTGTTACTTTTTTTCTACAAAAAGACAAATATCTGGATGTGGTAAATGAAATTATCTTGTATGTTCTTGTAGTAAAATTTCAAACTTAAAGAGCAATTAGAAAAAGTGGTACAATATACCACCATGTACCATTTACCTAGATTGTGCCTTAGTAAACTGTTTCCCTGAAAATCTTTGTTTTTTCATCCAGTTTTCTATCATCTACCTATGTATCTATTGGTCTGTGTCTCCAGCTATCTGTCAATCTATCTATCCGTCATTTTTATTTTTTGGAGCACTTGAGAATGAATTGGAGAGGCTATGTTCCACCAACATAGTGTCTTTTTGTGTTAATTTTTAAGGAAAAGAACAGCATTTTACATAAAATATGTACACTTAAAAATCAGCTAATTTAATGGGGAGATAATTTTATCTAATCAATAGTCTATATTTACATTTTCTAATGGTCTCAATAATTTTTAGTAGATCTTTTTTGTAGAATCACAAATTAGGCTATTGTGCCCCATTGGTCTCCTTTATCATAAACCAGTTTCTCAATTGTCACTGATTTTATTGACTTTGACATTTTTGTGGAGTACAGGTAAAGTGTTCTGTTTCTTTTAAGATGGGTCAAGTTTGTTCATTATTAGAATTAGACTTTGCATTCTTTTGAGTTGGGTCAAGTTTGTTCATTATTAGAATTAGACTTTGCATTCTTGGCAGAAATATGACTGAAGCAGTATTGTGTCCTGTTGAGAGCATCAGTATCCCCATAATGTTGGTTTTTCTCAACATTGTTGATGCTGACACTCAATCTTTCACTTTGTATTACCAAGTAAATGGTGAACAGATATTTTAGACTATGTAAATAACCTGTTCCTTGTCAAATTATCATCTACCAATTTTGTTTCCATTTTTGTCTTCCTAAAGGCATCATTCCTTTTTATATTTATTAAGTAATATACTGGTATAGGCAGTGCTTTAGTTTTCACCAATATATTTTACTATTACATTGATATCAAATATGAACTTGAAGATTCTATTATTGTTCAATTACTGAGATAATTTCACTTAATGCCCTACTTATCATAGCATTCAACAGTGGCAGGCTTTTAAAAACTGTTTTTTTTTTTCCTTATTTTTTCCATGTCCCTATGATTCTTGGATCATTTTCTTATATTCTTTGAGATAATTTGATTTTATTTCCTCAGGTAATAGAAAACAACAATGGAAAAAAATAAATGGAACTTCTGAAGGATACTTCATTCTACCGGGTTTTTCTCATTGGCCTAACCTGGAAACAGCTTTTTTGTTGTAATCTCTATATTCTACTTGATGACACTGATAGGTAATTTGTTCATCGTCATACTGTCATACCTGGATTCCCGTCTCCACACTCCCATGTACTTCTTCCTCTCAAACATCTCTTTTCTGGATCTCTGCTACACCACCAGCTCCATCCCCCAATTGCTGGTTAACCTCCTGCTGGTGGTGATGTCCTATGACCATTACGCACCTGTGTGTAAACCCCTGCATTATGCTGTCCTCATGCACCCTCGACTCTGCCAATCCTTAGCTGTGGCTTCCTCGGTAAGTGGCTTTATTAACTCAGTACTCCATTCCCTCATTACCTTCTGGGTACCCCTGTGTGGACATCACCAAGTGGATCACTTCTTCTGTGAAGTTCCAGCACTCCTGAAACTGTCATGTGTTGATACTCATGCTAATGAGCTGACTCTCATGTTCACAAGCTCTATTTTTGTTCTCACACCTCTTGTCCTCATTCTAACATCCTATGGTGCCATTGCTCAGGCTGTTCTGAGGATGCAGTCAAATACTGGACGTCAGAAAATCTTTGGGACGTGTGGAGCCCATCTTATGGTTGTTTTCCTCTTTTTCATTCCAGTTTTCTGCATTTATCTTCAACCACCAACAGAAAATTCTCAAGATCAAGGGAAGTTTATTTCCCTGTTTTTACTGTTGTCACACCTAGCCTCAACCCTCTCATCTATACCCTCAGAAACAAAGACATAAGAGAGGCAGTTAGAAGACTAATGGGAAGAGAATGACCTATGTACTTGTGACATTAACAGTGTAATAATACATCAAACTCAGTTTATAACTCCCATCTGAAGATGGTACTATCAATTCTTAAATCTGCAGAATCTGTCTTTTAATTTCTGTCTTTCTAGGCAGGATAATTTTGTCTCCTATCTAGGTTTATTTAGAGACTAACGGCACACCTGCAATAATTTTCTCTAACACTGTTGTTCTTTGATGAACAATAAATATTGAGGGGAATTTGGAACATGTTCTTTCATACCATTTATGTGTTATAAGTTCACTAATTGTAGCACAACAGTGAGTTATGTACCATAAGTAATTGTCTTATATTTCTTTTCTTTTCCTGGCATGGAAGTAAGAAATATATATATATATATATATATATATATATATATATATATATATACACATACACACACACATACATATATACATATATATGTGTGTATATATATATATATATATATATATATATATATATATATATAATTACATATATTTTCTATACTATATACTATATAGTATAGTTTCTACAATATAAGTACAGAAAATGGGTATAACTTGAAAGTTCTGATAAGTAGTTTGCTGAATATTAGTCATCATAGTTTGCATATAATTTGGTGAAGTATATGTTTGAGCACCTGGGCTACCTAGAAATCCATAAAGAATATTTGTGGTAGTTCAAGACATAGAGTTCAAAAATTACTTGAAAATGTATTGGAAAAAATTGTGATAAATACTGCTGTGAGAGGTTGTTATCTTCAGTTTTAAGCTTGATCTAATATGTTTTTATTAATATATATTGAACATCAATTATATTTTCCAAATTAAGGAGTATATTTTTATGAAAAGAATGATTTATTGTTTACATAATTATTAAAAATTTCTATATGAAATATGAGAACTATATATTCACCCTATTAATTGTTAGTCATTTCAATTGTAGTACAAGAAACTACAAGGAAATAATATAAAGTAACATTTGCAATATAAGAATTTTATCTATGAGTCAATTGCCAGTCAATAGTCTTTGAGGGCTTTGTAAAGGCTAATTTAAACAATTTGCTTCATTATAAAATAAAACTACACACTAGACTTCCCCTGAATTTCCTGTGTGGCTTGCAATTATACTAATTGTGCTCACTTTGAACTCTTTATGTGTCTTTAACACTAAGTAAGAATCATGTATATAACAGAACTTTTAATCTGTATACTGTGAAATAGCACATGAATACAAACTTTTTAAGGCATAAAAATGTACGTTAGTATTTTGGACCATATTTAACTGTGAAAAGCTTAAGATTTTGCACAACTTTTGCTACATTTCCATCTTTACCATACTTTTTTCTTTCAGATTTTTATAAGTATAATTGAGAAAAAAATGTGTGTATTTATGGCTAAAATGTGATGTTTTATATATGCATATTAGGAAATTATTTTTCTATTCAATTAACATGTCCATCACCCTACACAATTTCCATCTTTGCCACACTTTTTTTTCTTTCAGATTTTTATAAGTATAATTGAGAAAAAATTAACATGTCTATCACCCCACACAATTATAATATTTTTGTGAGGTGAAATCTACACTTTTAGGTATTATCTGGTAAACAATACAGTAGCAATACTTATAGTCACCATGTTTTATAATACAGCTCAATTGTCCTCCTTTCTGAAACTTTGTGTCTTTATCCAACCTCTACCCAGTTTTCATTTCCCTCTGAATCTCCAGACCCAGCAGTCTAGTTGTCTATGCCTTTATGAGTTCAAATTTTTAGATTCATATATAAAAGTGAACATGCAATATTTGTCATTTTCTACATGGCTTATTTCATTCAGTATAATGTCTTCGAGTTTTGCCACATTATTGCAAGTATCAGGACATCCCAGCTACATTGCTTTAGGCCTTAATCTCTCTGAATTTCTGTTTCTTCTTATTAAAAAGGGTATAGTAATACAAATTGCCTCAGAGGGTCATTTTGAGGATGAGTGAATTAGGTAAAGTGTTCTGGATATTTCTTGGGATGTAGTAAATAGTATATTCTCTGAGGCAATGTTGGTAATGGTGATTGTCATAATCTATGAAATTTTTCTATAATAAAAATAATAACAGGGGCTGGGGTTGTGGCTCAGTGGTAGAGCACTTCCCTAGCATGTGTGAGGCACTGGGTTTGATCCTCAGCACCATATTAAAATAAATAAATAAAATAAAGGTATTGTGCCCATCTACAAGTTAAAAATAAATAAATAAATAAATAAAAATGGTAACAGGGTTTTATTGGTTACTTAAAGACCACAGGTCACTTTTTGGCCATGTCTTGGATTTCTTGTACCCAGTTATAGGCAACTGTTATTAAGAGCTTTTTCTGGCTTAGAATTTTATGGTTAGCTCAGACTGTTTCATTTATCAGTCTGTTTAGGCTGATCACATGGCCCAATTCTGTCTAGTCAACTGCTGAAATGGCAAGGGGAATACAGGCGAAAACATCAATGGGAAGTTGACAGGATAAACAAGGAGTAAGTTGGAGATAGTGTTACCACAGGGCATGGGTGTCCAGACTTCCAATAACAAACTGTGGGCCATTGAACGGGACAGGGGGCATGCCTGGATGGCAGGGATCACCAAGGTTCTCAGCATCTGCCTGAGATCTTGAGAAATCCAATACTGTTCATTGCAAAGTTCATTCCAGGGTCTGGTCACCCCCAGAGAACATCAAAAAGACAGATTGTGAGTCCTGTACCCACCAATTTGGTCACCAGAAACTAGGATGAGATCCCCTTTGTGTGGAGGAACCATTGTCTCTTGGAAGCTTCAAATTCCTGCTTCATAAATTACCATGCTTGTACCATGTATTATATATCTGTATCAATATATTATATGTGTATAATTTATATGTGTGTGATATATATATATGTATATATATATATATATATGTGTGTGTGTGTGTGTGTGTGTGTATATATATATATATATATATATATATATATATATATATATATATATATATATATAATTGCATTTTCTTTCTTCATTCATTCATTTGTTGGCAGCAGACAAGGGCTTTTTACCAATGTCATGGCTATAAGGAATAAGGCTATAATGAACATGAATGTGCAAGTATCACTTTAACCTAGTTATTTTATGATGGAATTTGGATATATATGCAGGAGTAGGAATGCTAAATTTCATGGTAAAATTATTTTTAATTTTTTGAGTAAAGTCCATCGTATTTCTCATAATGGCTATAACAGTTTGCATTCTATTCAAGAGTGAAAAGATATGCTTCTCTTCATATCCTTATCCTATCCACCTGGTTTTACATTAAGTGAAATATTAAACTTACAATATTATCATTTCTTATCCACCATCCTCCTGGCTATCATTTTATAGGATTGATTTAAGTGGTCACATTAGACTTTGCTAATGTTAACCTGAAAGGCAGAATAGAAGACTTTAGCTTTTAGTGGTCTCATTATCTCATAAATATAATCCAGTACAGTTCATTGCAAGTATTGATCTTAATATGGCATGGAGTATGTTAATCTAATCAAGAAACTAAAGTACCCATTGACCCAAATCATATTTCCCTTTCTATTTTCTATTTGGTTCTGCCTGTTGGTGGTCATTTTTCCTGTTTAATTCCCCATTGCTAACATGTTTTGCAAATGAAAGAAAGAAACTCAGAGACAGCATTATATTCTCCCACATCCCCTCTGAAGTGTTTCTGTATATAGTGCGTATGGTTGGCAGGGGCAGTGTTATAGAACATTTATTACTCTATACACTTTCCAAAGTATTGGTAGATGTAGTTAGATAAAATTTGACTTGAATTCATGACTTATTTGGATTTCTCTACATTTTAATTTAATATTGTGTATTTTCTTCCCCAGGATCAAATCCAGGATGCCATGTTGTGTTTAGTTGTCATGCCTTACAGTCTTCTCAGAATCCCTTGAGCTTTTTGATGAGTGATGGTGATGTTTTCTAGAATGTACTTCAGTTGTAGTTTGTGTGTCATTTTGTCCTGTTTAGACTGGGGTTATGAGTTTGTGGGGAGAAATGCCTTTTCCATTCCTACATGGTATTACCAATGATATTGAACATTAACCATTTAGTGAAGATAGAGTTTATATTATACAAACTTAAGTTTACAATTTTATCTTTCCATATTCTAACCCTTCAAAGACAGTCACTTTGCCTGGCCTGCAGTTAAGGCAGAAGAATGTTTATATTCCATCTCTCATGTGGGAGTATTTTTTTTATCTATAAGGAAGATTCACTCTTTCCATTCATTTTTTATTTATCCAATCATACACACATACACACACACACACACACACACACACACACACACACACACACATATATATATATATATATATATATATATATATATATATATATATGAACTAAGGGACATTTATCTTATAATCTAGGATATATTTCAATGTGTGTTATTTTTTTCATTACTCAACTTGTTCAGTTTTGTCCTTTGAGGTTTTTTCAGATTGGCTACTTGATCCCTTGGAAATTTTTTCATCATTTTGTTTTCTCTCTCTCTCTTTTAATCTCCTTCATTTCTGTAACATGTGGTATTACTACTAGAAGCTAATTTTGTAATTTGTTCCTTCCCTCAGACATTTTTCGAGGATCTTTGGTTATTTTCACTGATATTAAAAAGCAATAGTTCTTGGGGCTGGGGATGTGGCTCAAGTGGTAGCGCGCTCGCCTGGCATGCGCGTGGCTCGAGTTGGATCCTCAGCACCACATACAAACACAGATGTTGTGTCCGCCGAAAACTAAAAAATAAATATTAAAAAATTCTCTCTCTCTCTCTCTCTCTCTCTCTCTCTCTCTCTCTCTCTCTGTCTTTCTCTTTCTCTAAAAAAAAAGCAACAGTTCAGTGTTTTGTTTTTTTTTTTCCAAATTGGACTGGTTGATATTTGCCACAGTCTATTTCAACATACCA